ATAAATTTTAAAAATTAGAAATAATAATTCTAGTAAAAGAAACATTTGAACTGTTAGTTTCCATTGTTTTTAAATGGAAAACCTACTTGCATCCATCTTTAAGATGGATGCTTTACACTTTCTGGACCGCATATGTAGAAATGCAATCCATGAAACAATTTTCCTGAACAGAATACCAACTTTTAGTTAAAGGGTATTGCTTGCATAAGTTTACAATGTTAAAGTTTTGCTTACAAATTTTATCATAAGATGCAATTTTGGTATTGGTCTAAAAAGGATGAAGACACTAAACTTTCCCTTGACGAGTCCCAAGAGCAAGTAAAAGCAAGTTGTGTTAGACAAGCAGTCAATATAAAATTTTGTAAATATTTTCTATAACTCCTAAATCCAAAGGTATGATCCTTGATAGAATAATATAGCAGACCATGAATTGTATAAACTAATTCCAAATAGCTGGAAAAAAGTATGAAAAAAAAAAAAAAAGCTTGAGAATCGATTTTCATATCTAATTATCAAATTCTAAACGATTCAAATCAAGTAGATCAATAAACACATAAAAATCTTGAAAATGAACCATCCACAATATATTGCAAAATGTACTATTTTTTGAACTTTTTTTAACCATACATCTCGATGGCGAGATGATCAATTAACATTGAAACATCCTTTTCCCATAAATTTATGAGGTGCACCTTAATTCTACCGTTAAGATTGCAACGTTATATAAACTTTTTCCTTAAAAATTTTAGAAATGCATCAATGCACACCTCCCCCTTAACGCACACAGAGATCTCATGTGAACACAAGTTAGGGAAGTTGACCACAAACCAACATGTGCACGCAATGTACGCAGTGGCACACATGTGCACGCAATGTACGCACTGGCACACATGCACAGAGAGAGAGAGAGATGCTGGAAACTGAACACAAAAGAAAGGGGTTGCAAATCACACCAAAAGCTGAATATATTGACTGCATAATAGTAAGACCTCAATATATAAACCAAGTTACAAGCTATGTAATTTTGTTGAAGCCCAGTGCTCCTGAGATAGATCATAGAACTCACATGTTTCCTCAGTTACCAATATGGGAGTGTTTACATGACTGGTACTGGAGAGAATTTGTCACCAACCACGATCCAACTTATGTGGCATGACATGGCTCTCATCGACCAATTTCACCGTAATCACCAAATAGAGTCGCCCAACTTTTCCCACTTCAAGTAATTGTATCAACAAAAAAACTGCAGTAAATGCAAATTCCAATGGAATATATTAGAAGATAATAGAAATACTGCATCGTTAGAAAATTCATAAATATGGAAGGTATCTCAAATCAGACCTACCTAAGAGATGAAGAGAGGAAACAATTTCACATGCATGGTTACAAAATAAAAGAACGAACCCACCTGAAATTTCTTAGCTACCAGTCTTCCAAGTCAGAATCAATTGAGCTTTTGCCCCGGAGCCCTTGCCTTCTTTTTGATTTGGAACGATCCCCAAATACATCAAACATCTCTATATCATCTGATCTGTCATTCCCAAATGTGGGTCTTCTCTGCTGCCTTCGATGGCCAAAGGCATCATTAAAAGCCATATCAGATAAGGATGTTTCTCTCTCATTCGCTTGCGCAAAAGATCTTGAGGCCCATCCCGATCCAGATGCACCTTCTCTCTCACTATAATGCTTTCCTCTCTCAGTAAAACGTTTGCTCCCAAAATTAGAGGAGCCACCAAATTGGGTTCTTTGATTCGCAGGCTGACAATGTGATCTCCCTCTATTACTTGAAAATGGGGTCCTTTCATAGCTTTCGTATCCTCCAAATTGGCCCCTTCTTGAGCTGTCAAAGTCTCTAGAACCACGGCCTCTGGTTTCATCGGCAGTATCGTAACGACTTCCTTGCGAGCTTCTATAACTGTCAAAATGAGTTACACCAGAATTGGAAGGACGATCAAAGCGGCTTCTTACCCTATCAACAAACCCTCCACGTGGGCTCTCTTCAAAGTTATCAGGTATACTCCCAACATCTTTGATTTTTGGCAACTGAGAATAAACAGTGTCAGCAGTGAGGTCAAAAAGGAATTTTATTTTATGCAATTTAGGAGAGAAGGGTATAAGATGGTTAAGAGGGATGTGAGACTCACTGTACTAGTAACTCCGAATTGTTAAGAAATCAGAGTGATTCTAACAATCGCAAACCTTATGGCATATGAATTATTTATATTATCAAACATATATGCATACCACACAGTACCATGAACACCTAAAAACATTTTCACAAAGTTTACCTTGCCAAAAAACTATTCTGACAAGATCTCCACCCAGAAATGAGATTCACCAACCTGCCAGGAGTTTCTTTAAAAACAAAACTAGCGACTATGATTCTGGCTCTGCTTGAGGAAAAGCCAATCCCAGCAAAATGAGTTCAACTGTAACAATTATCCTTAAGAAAACCACATAAAAAATCTACCACTTGCCTGTCACACTCATCACAAATGTTTCATAGGAATTATATACACTATATGCTGAAAAGTATGGGGAAGCTTCTATTATTGGATTGGTTAAAAGCCCTCAATCTAAAGCTAACTTGTCGTTTATTTGGAAGGTCATTGATTACTACAGGTCCCTTTACCTGCAACATAGTAGTAAGCTTGTGGGTAAAGGTGATCATACCTCCATTTGGTGGGATAGATAGCTTGGAGAAGTGGCCCTCAAAGATGCGTTCCCAGAGGTCTTTCCTAAGGTCCAAATCCCCTTGCCTTTGTCTTAGAGGTTAGGAGGAGGATACTAACCCTCAATCGTCTGCATGTTGTAGGTATAGGAGAATGTCGGACTCTTTTATTAATAAGTTTCAACAATTAATGGACTTGCTTCAATATGCTCATTGGTGTACTTCCAAGGATGATAGTCTTAACCTTACAAATTCAGGGGCTTTTTCAGTTAAATCAGTTTATATGATGCTTGATGGGGAACGAAGTAGAGTGGACAAGCTAAATCTGAATAGTATTTAGAGGCTGCACAATCCGTTGAAAGTACGGGTCTTTCTTTGGGTTGATTGCCAAGAGAAGTTGTCCACAATTGACAACATTCGTAAGAGAGGCCTTCTTATTGTGAATGTTTGCATTCTTTGTAAAAGTGACAATGAATCTACTGATCACTTATTTCTTCATGGCCCTTTTATTTTAAGGTTATGGGATTGGAGTAGGCAGCTGCTAAATTTATCTATTCACCTCCCCTCGAGTTCGGGTGTTCTTCCGCTCCAATGGAGCTCACCGGGTCTCTCTAAACAGCTGCTGTAGGTATAGGAGAATGTCGGACTCTTTTATTAATGTGTTGTAGGTATAGGAGAATGTCGAACTCTTTTATTAATGTGTGTTGTAGGTATAGAAGAATGTCGGACTCTTTTATTAATGAGTTTCAGCAATTAATGGACTTAATTCAATATGCTCATTGGTGTACTTCCAAGGATGATAGTCTTATATGGGACCTTACAAATTCAGGGGCTTTTTCAGTTAAATTAGTTTATATGATGCTTGATGGGGAACGGGGTAGAGTGGACAAGCTAAATCTGAATAGTATTTAGAGGCTGCACAATCCGTTGCAAGTACAGGTCTTTCTTTGGGTTGCTTGCCAAGCGAAGTTGTCCACAATTGACAACATTCGTAAGAGAGGCCTTCTTATTGTGAATGTTTGCATTCTTTGTAAAAGTGACAATGAATTTACTGATCACTTATTTCTTCATGGCCCTTTTATTTTGAGGTTATGGGAGAATTGGCGTAGGAAGCTGCTAAATTTATCTATTCACCTCCCATCGAGTTCGGGTGTTCTTCCGCTCCAATGGAGCTCGCCACGTCTCTCTAAGCACGGTACTGAGATTTGGATATCTTTGTGGCCTAGCAATATAGGAGAGGAATAGAGGGTCTTTGAAGGTATCTCATTGGAAGGTACTACACTAAAATCCAATATATTGGCACTGGCAGGTGAGTGGATGAAGATTCATAAAGATGGAAGATTAGTAACTTTTGATCAAGTGATTTTTAATCCTTTGGAGGTTTCTAAGCTTTCAATAGCTCCAATTAGAAGGCATGCGATTTGGGGCCCTCTACGGCTAAATTTTATTAAGTTAAACTTCGATGGTATTTCCTTTGGGATTCCTGGTATGGCTGGTTTTGGTGGATTAATTAGAGATTCCCAAAGAAGAACATTACTCACTTACTAAGGTCCTTGTGGTGTGGCTATTATTTATGAGACGGAGACACAGGCAATGCTAGAAGCCATTAGATTACTTTCGAGGATGAAGGGTCATAAAGTTGTCGAGGGAGATTCTGCAAATATTCATCGCTTGGAGTAAAGGAGAAGCCATACCTCTTTGGCAGCTGCATCCATTGCTGAATGAGATCAAAGTATTCATTTCTTCAATGTCGGTTGATATTTGTCATTGTTTTCGTGAGGCCATTATGGAGGCAGACTCACTAGCTAAAAGGGGTGTCCATCAACAAACTTTGGTGGTCACTGACCTCAGTTAATATACCTAATTTTGGTATCACCTTACGAATTCTTTTGAATGAAGTTTTATGGTTGAAGTAATAAATAATTTAAAAAAAAAAAACATGTTGTGTAAGCATGCGTAGAGAGTTTCATGAATAATGATGCCTCTCTTCAAATGAAGCATCTAACTACCAAGAGAATAAAAGAATAAGTGAAACTTAAAGTGGCACAATGGTTTTAAATAGTTCATCGGATTGCCCATCATAAAGAAACTTGCCTCTTCAAACTTGCAGCCAACATCACGTTCAATTAGCCTGACTGTGCGGCGTTGATCTTCAGTATAAATAAGCACTGCAGTGCCTTTCTTTCCAGCACGTCCAGTTCGCCCAGATCTATGGACAAAAATCTCTGATGTATTTGGTATCTCAAAATGAATTACCTGAACACAGAGGGCGTCGTCGTATTTAATTATGTAATTATGTTTAGGTTACTCATAAAGCAAAAAAAAGTTGATTATTTCTAGAAGGCCATATAAAGTTCAAATTCCACATATGTAAAGTAAATTACCAGATCGACATTTGGAATGTCAAGCCCACGAGCAGCAACATCTGTAGCTACCAGCACATTAAAGTGGCCATCTCGAAAAGCAGCTAGGGTTCTGTCCCTTTGAAACTGCTGCATGTTCCCATGCAAAGCCCTGCTTCCTAGAGTAGAACCCATGGTTCTCGAAAGAACTTCAGCATCTTTCTTGGTCCTCGTAAAAACTATGGACTTCCCTCCCTGTGCAAATTTCTACACAACCAGCATTTTGCAGTACTTTATAAAGAGCCCATAGAATGCCAAAACAGAATGGTTGCAATTAAGTTGATAGAAGAAACCAGCACAAGGAAGATGAAAAACAAAAACGGAAGATAGGATATGATGAATTCTCCCACCAAAGCATGAAAGGTGAAGCCAACCCATTCTGCCCCAAAACTCACAAATACTACTGCTACTGCAACAGCAAAAACCACAACTGTACTATCACTATCACCAAGACCACCACAACAAAAACAATAACAACCACGACTGCTACTATGCCAATGCTTCTATTGCTACTGCTACCATAACCAAATAAAACTAGATCATACTAATGCTTGTTCTACAAGTATCAATATACAAATTCAGATTACTCTAGGCATCTGTATCAGCTACAACTAAATGGAAATTTGAACTTCAATCCAAATTCTAAGAAAACAAAGACATAACAAACTGTAACCATCAGGAATGGATTAGAAATACGCCAGAGACTATATATGTGGAGCTAACTAATAGTCAGCTATCTTTCATGCATCCAGAAAATTTTATCTCCATTGCATGGAAAGCATGTGGTCAGTTCCCCAAGAATAAGCACAAGAAAAAGAAAAAAGAGAAATATTACAAATTCATTAACTTACAGTGATCAAAGACTGGAGAACACTCTGCTTCCTGTAAGTAGTTGAAGCAACCGAATAAAGAGAGATACCTTCAGCCAACTTTTGCTCAGAATCACCCACCTGATTGGAATAAAAGTCATGTCCAGGACCTTGAGATTGCAAAACTATGCCAAAAAAAAGAGTGAAGCTGTAACACTTCCATGCACTCTGATGTCCAAAGGTCAAAAGTCAAGTACAATATTTGGAGAAGTACACTCCCTTGGGAGCATATATTACTTCTACTATCCTTAGTCAGAAGACCTACTTGGAAGATTTTCTCGATCTGAAATTTTGGGAACCATCTAAGAATCAGTAGATGATTATTATCAAAGAAAAAAATATTGAAATTTGAGTTTTCTGACACTTAGATCTCACCATCTAAAAAGTATATGGTCTCTATTCAATCTCGATTTTACTTCATTTCTGTTTTTTTTCAAGTGCACAGAGGGTGCAATTAAGCAATTTGCTTAATTGAGGTTAATCTGTGTATGGGTAGAACAGGTTAGATGGGGTCCTAAAATTAATTCTAGGTGGGGTTTTACCAAAGGGAGTAAATAGACAATATACTCCTGCGAGAGTATAATATCTTTTGGTTTATCAAATAGATATCGTAAACCATTGTCCACTGGAGTAAGCACCATCCAAAGAAATGAGTGACATTGATGGAAGGAAAGAGGCATCCACAAGAAGAATACATTGCCGTCTCTCACCATCACCATCCTTCATGTTATTGGATAGCGATGAGTCCAATGGACTATGGTTTCACACAGTCTGCTGGTTTAAAGTGTAATCTCCATTTCTCAAAATAAGAGATAGTGATTAGATACCAACTTACAAGGTCGATGACTAATGGATCCCGCAAGTACTTCTTTGCGAGTTCATTAACCCATGAAGGCATAGTGGCAGAAAACAGCATGCATTGCTTCTTCGAAGGCAAATAATTCATGATGCACTCAACAGCCTCTTGGAAACCAACAGCAAGCATCTCATCAGCTTCATCTAACACAACAAACTTGACTTCCGATAAGTCTAAGGCACCCCGTTCAATCAGATCTATAATACGACCGGGCGTGCCAACAACAATATCAGTACCAAAGCTAAGAACCCGAACTTGGTTCATAATTGGAATACCCCCATAAAGACAAGCGCTGATCAAATTTGGGGCAGATTCCTTGAACTCTTTCTGAACCTGCCGTGCTAGCTCCCGAGTAGGGGCCAATACCAGAGCAGAGGGAACTCTTTTTTGCCTACGGAGTCACATTGTCAAAAGATCAAGAAGCAAGAAAAAGAAAATTACAAAACACCAAGAAAAAATCAAAATATGTGTAGCATAAAACTCTCTTGGCTTAGAGCCCAAATACACAAATAACCTATAACTAGTACACCATTTATATACAAAATTTTGTGACACTAAGAACGGTAATGGGAGTCAAACATCTACCTCTGTTTTTAAGCGATCTTTAATAAAGAAACTATCAGAATTTGGATTATTGGTGCTTGGTGGAATTCCATTAAGTTTTGTTCAAGTTTTTGAGTTACAAGGGGGGAAATGAAAGATTGCAATATGGAAATTCAAACAGAGAGTCACAGGGAGAAAGGCAAAGGGACAAGATAACTTCATTTTTTTGTTCTGTGTAGCTGATAGGCATAAATCAGGTTGTTATCTCCTTAATTGCTAAAACAAAGTATGAAAATTCGCCTATAACTGAGAGCCGCCTGAGTCACCTCGGGACCTGATGGAGAACCAATCGAAGTCCCCCATCCCCACCAGCTCAGTACCTTGAGCCGGTTCTTTAAACATTGATTGAAAAGAAACAGGGGGTGGCATAGGATGCAGTAATGAGCAGCATTTGGATCATTGTGTTGACATGAAGATATTGTCATGGAATTTAGGAAGGTATGGAAGCCCCAAAAAATGAGTAATAGCCCATAATTTCATATAAAACCATTTTATATAATGTCATTTTCAAGTAACAAAAGCTGGTTACGGTGAATGGGTTATTCCAGCTGAAGTACAAAAATTTGCTACTATGACTCATGATAGAAACAATCAAAGCAACTTCCACCAACCAAAAAAGAGATACACAATGAAAGAAGTGACCTTAATAAGAACTAGGAAATATAGCATATCTTTCTTTTGTGGGGTCCAATGAGACAATGACACATTTCTAACAAGTAAATATGTTTCTGATAATTAAACTGAGATAAATTCATAGACGCAACCAGTGACAATTATAACCAGACCATTCAATTAATGAATAGGCAGGTTTATATGTTATGAAATAGTCAATTCTGATGTTGATGGACTGTAATTAAATCTGGGACTTATTACTTGACATTTTAATTGTAAATTTATGACTCATGAACATAATTAGACAATTTATTTGTATTACAATTAGATATAATTCTTGAAACAAAGTTTTATATAAGCTGAATTTTAGGTGCTTTTATAATTAAAAAATTATGTGCCTTTATAGTACTGAAACTTACCATTGCTGATGAGACATTAGCTTCAGTGGCAATGTGATTAATGAAGACACATATATTATTATTGTCTAGCTTAGATATGGAATCCACGGAAGACGCAAGCTGAAATCGAAAATAAATAGCATGAAAGGCCCTAACAATCTTGTGTGTAAAGGACAAATGTCAAAGAAACCTTAACTGCTCATAGCTTAGTTGCAGGACCCCTTATTAGGCTTCCCAATCTTGAAGCTAATATTTCCCGGGAGAGAACCACATAAATCCTTATCAACAATTAGCTTTTCACATGCTCCCAGTGCCCAGTGCTGATTTGTATGTATTCCATAATGACCTCTCAAACTAATTAGGGCAGTTTGGTTATTTAAAATATCAACATCTCATAATATTCAGAGTTCTATTTCAGGCGTCACAATAATATATAATACCAAAATCTATTGAGGAGCTTCAAACACTAGCACTTCTCAACAGTCCAGGAATAGGTTTTTTGTTCAATTTCTTAAACATGAGGGAGATTGTTGATTGTAGAATTTATGTGCAAGATCCCACAGATCATAATTTTGTGTGATTGCCGCATACCAATGAAGCTAACGGGGAAGTTCTATAGGACAAATGCGAGACTAGCTTTGCTTTGTGGGGTGGAATATTGGGCAGTTAGGAAACAACATACCCATATGATGAGTGTAACTGAGATGAGGATATTGAGTGAAAGGAGTGGCAAAGTAGAACTCAAGGTATTAAATTCAAAAAAATTCTTGTTCTTTTATTCAATATACCTGATATCCACTTACATGGGCCACTATACACTGCTGTAATTAAATTTAAAACTCTCAATACAACCCATGATTTTTACTTTTACTGCCAAAGCAAATAAAAACCATCCAAGAACAATAAACAATCTTCTACTATAGTTTTGAGTACAATATATGTTCCTGAAAATTCACAAAAAAATATGAAATAAAACTGAAAAATAATAAAATCTACTGGGAGGACTTACTAGAAGGTGCTTGGAGTTACCCTCACAGGTCTTGATCCACCCCACACCCGATATCCTGATCGAAAGTGCACTTTGTTCCTTTTGAAGTAGGTTGACTACGGAAGATACTCATATTGTAGTAACAAGAAGCACAACTCTGAAAATGTGGGAAATGGAGGCTTACCAATGATTGAGGTGACGAACATTTTATTTTCATCTCTTATTAGGCTAACAGGGACAGATAGTTGGATCATGGCAAGCTGATTACAAAGGCCTTTAACTTTGTCATAATATTCAATGATAGCCATCTTTTCTCGGATGCATGGCTAATGTGCAAGCGTCAAGTGCATCTCACGTGCCTCTAACTCCTGTGAGAAGGATTAATACAATGTCTTCCATAATTCAGCAGATGAGGCCATTTCAACAACTTCTATGAGGATTTATACAAAGAGAATTGCACTGATCCACCCATTGCCTGGTAGCAACTCATTCTCCATGTCCCGGGTTTGTGAAGGAGACTTCCTTTGTTTTCCTAGACTCATCAATCTCATTTTGATATGGAGGTTTCGAAGAACCATCTAAATGTCTCATTACTTTCTAACCAGAAACGAATGGTTTGATGAAAGCTTTCCAAGTTATGAAGTTGGATGAAGTCAACTTTGTAGTAACCATAGAAAATGGGTTGAAAGAATACACTATATTGGGATAGAAATTGAGAAGAAAGTGACAGGTTACTGGAAATTAGGTGTATGATGCCCTATAGAAATAAAAGTGAGCACATGATACCCTACGGCAAGAAAATTGGGCATGTGACATCCTAGAGAGAGTAGAGAAAATTAGAGTTTCCAAGTGAGAAATTTTGAGATTTTATCAAGATGAAGAAGGAGAAGCTGCTGGATAACAAGGTGCGCGATGCCCTGGAGACAGAAAATTAGGCGAGTAATGCCCTAGAGAAAGAGAAGAAAGAGAAGTGGCATGTAATGCCCTAGGGAGAGAAAGTATGGAAAAGTAGGCCTTTTTAAGGGGAGAAGGAGAAAGAGTTTAAGATTTTGGAACGATTTTGTGATGAAGAGTATGAGAATATGTATAAATAAAAATATGTAACCATAAAAGAGAAGAGAACTAGGGTTTTCAAGAAAACTAGAGAGTTAGAAGAATGAAGGGTTGTAGAGAGAAATTTTGGGTTTTAAATTTTTAATAGAATAGAAGTACGGAAAATTAGAGAAATACAATAAAGAAGTCTGTAGAGAGAAACTTGGGCATGTTGATCACTGGAAATCGGAAATTCCCTAGAAACGAGAGTATCTAGATTTCTGGAAGTTAGATTTCATTATATTTGGAATTGGCAAAGACTGTGTTGATAACCTATTTGGAACTCTAGGAAGTCTGGGAACCCATATTTGTTTGAATCTAGGTGTTTGTTTGAACATGGGATTTGGAAAGCTGGAGATCTAAAAATTGGCCAATTTTAATCGTTTAATGAACTTTTCTTCATGAGAAGATGATATTTGATGAATGTAAGACATTTTAAAATCCTAGGTCATACACAACATGTCTAAAAAAATGTACAGTTCAAATCATGAAAAACAAAAAAAATACAAAGGTTACTATTTTGCATTAGATTATATTTCAAAGGTGTTCTATGTGATTGGGCAAATCAATACCGATTAAAATTTTTCTATCTTTTCTTATTGTATTGCCACCCGAATCACTCACAAGTGTCTCAAAATACAATATAAACCAAATTAAATTGCCCGAGGATTTCGTACACCCCACACCGGGCCTCCTCTACCAATGGCACACGGGATCTTGATTCAAGATCTCATCTCACAACTTGGGAAGCCTAGGGAAAAACCAGCACAAAGCATAACATGGGATATCCTTAACCAAGGCTCGACACATGAGCATAAGGCCAAAATCTAGGGCTAGGCTATGTGGCCTTGGCGTGCCACCCCTTAGGAGGGCTTGCTTTCTTTTCTAAACCCTAATCTTTGAGAGAGAAGAGGGGTATGCCACCCCCTTGAGGCTCACAGATAGAGAGAGAAAGTTAGGGTGTAGAGAATGAAACCCCTCTCCCCCATAGCTTGTTTATATAGAATAAAAGCTAGGGTTTTGCCATCGTTATGAAATTTAATCTTAACCTTTGATCTTGAAGACATGTTGGGTGAGTAGATTTCATCTATTCATTCCTTAGATCATGTTGGGTAAAGACATGTTGGGTGAGAAGACATATGGGCCTCACGCTCCATATATTGGCCAGCCCAATGAGCCCCAATGGGCCCCCGATGTCTTAAACATTATTTTCAAATAATAAAATAATTTCATAAAACATCTAAATATTTTATTTTTCAATCTGATTAAAATAAATCCAGAAAATTGATTTCTCCTTATTTAAAAATCATTTTTAGTAATGCAAAATACCTAGAGAGGTCTAAAAATTCATTCTAATTATTTAAAAAATAATTAAAAGATATTTAAGCATATCTAAGAAGATGTGATAGGAATTGGATCCATAGAGTTAGGATTACAATAAATATACTGAGGACTCCATCCATTCTAGAGATCGTATCTCATTGCACTTTCTCAAATTGGCCTAATAGTTCCCATGACCCATAGCCCATAGGGGGGGTTCATGATTGGACTATCAAAGTCAGTTAATAAATGAAAGAGATACGATCCTAGTCCATAGAATACAAGTTCCTCCCTGAGGATAAGTCCAGGCCCCATAAGACATCAAAAATGCCTCACAGTCCAATGTAGACCACACTCCCACTGGAACCAACATTCCACCATATGTTTTTAATACATACTCTCATAAAGCCTTTAAATGGCCACATAACCCCAACAATATTTCATTTACTAATTTTTATTTTAAAATTATATGATGAATTTTACCATAGACTACGCTTTATTGGTGTAATCCCTTCTTTTATTTGAAAAATGCATTTTTTATTTGCCAAGTTTGGCATTGCTCCTATCATCGAATTGTCTCACCAATCTACCTTCCTAGAATAAGACTCTCCTTGTTGATATTTTTAATAGAGAAAGGAGAGAGGAGGGGCTCATTTGAGAGTGGAGAGAAGGGTTGGTTAAAATGGTACAATGAGAGAGTGGAGAGAGGGCTTCTTCGAGGGGAAAGGGAAGAGAGACAAAAGATTCCAAAAAAGGGTTTTCTTAAAGAGAAGGGGAAGTGCAGAGTGCAGAGAAGACAGTGCAGTGGAGAAAGGGTGTAGAGAGAATGGAGAGATATGGAATAGAGAGACAAGTGTGGAAAGGTGTAGAGAGAGTGGAGTTGAGAAGGACTCGAAAGTGGAGTTGAGAAGGACTCGAAAGGTGTACAGAGAGTGGAGTTGAGAAGGACTCGTAGCCATTGAAAGGTGTAGAGAGAGAGTGGGTTTGGGCTTTTCCATCTTCATTGCTTCAATGGGAAGCCATTGAAGATGCGGTATCCCAAATAGCGGGCTATATGGGTATCAACACTTTCCAAATACTACAGCACTCCCACCTAACAAACACGGACTTGTGACTGTTTTGTGGACACGCCCATTTCTTGTTAACAAACACACCCATAAGATTTTTAACAAGGTAAGGCAAAGTGGAGATAGAGAACCTTGTGTTAAAGTTATGAGGAAAAGGATGGTTTTTGTTTGCTTTAGAGAGAGTTGAAGATGGCTGCTGTTTGCTGAAAGAAAACTGACGAAGATGTTATGAGAAGATCCTTGAAGGGCCTTGAAGATCTAGGGTTCTGAACCAGCTTTGATAACACGATAGATAAGCTTCGCATGGAGAGCAAGAGAGAGACTGAGAACAACGAAGAGAGACAAGCAAGTCAAAAAACTTAGGTTCTAAAACTAAGGTTTACGTGCCTCTTTTATTGAATATATATATATAGAGAGAGAAAGAGGGATTGTCTACAAAGAGACCATTTATCTTACGTACATGAAAGTCACAAACATTCCTACTCATTAGATATCAAATTGGATGGCTTGGGGTGAGTTACGAAGTCCAAGAATTTTTCTTTTGGAACTGTCTATTCAATGATACTCTTACAACCACCTATTTTGAAATTTAAGGGACAAGAATGATTGTGACCTCCACGTACAAAAGATAAATGGTCTCTTTGTAGACAATC